ACACTAAATGCGCACACGCACTAGTCTAGACTTCACGTAATGTATGCGTGCGCTCTGTAGGGATGTTTTGAATGGTTTTTGCAAAATACTCGATAATGTCAAATCGCACATCGTTAAAACAACAATTACGATATTATTGCAGACGATATATATCGCACACCCCTAGTTATAGCTCAGTTTTATTGGTGACCACACTTGTCGCTTGTTGCTTTAGGAAGTGTTCTGTGATTTTCCTGGCCGTTTCCATGCATGTTTTTAAGCCGCGGACAGTCTCCTTCTGTAGACGGGTCCCGCAGGGGTCCGGAGAGCGACCAGACAGAGCTGTTTGTTTTTATCGGTGGGGTTTATTTTTCTGTGCATATGTTTGTGTGTGTGTGTGTGTGTGTCGTTCCAGCCATCTTTGGCGCACAGACTCACGGGCAGAGAGGGTCCTGTTAGCCAGCTGTGTCTGTACACATCGCCCTCCCTTCCCAACATCACCCTGGGCCTGCCAGCCACCGGCCCCTCCCTCGTGAGTCCATCTTTCTTTCTCTCCGTCATAGAGAGGCCCCTGTCTGGACCGTCAGGGGGCCACATGTGGCTTTCAGCACCAGTGGTGTTTCAGAAAGAGCCTTTTGAGAGACAATAACTGACCGCGGGTCTCTGACGCACGCGAAACATAATTTACGAGGGAATGTTCTCTCTTCTTTGCCTTAGATTCTTTTGCAATTATTCTCTTTCATTCTCTGTTCACATAGGTGGGTTCTGGCCTACAGGATGGTGACAGAATGGCAGTGCCAGGCTTGCAACCAGGAATACCCATAACCACTCCGTTCATGCCAGGAGCCCACCTGCCTTCTTACCTGGCTGCGTCCACCTTAGAGCGGGAGGGTGGCTCGGCACACAACACTCTCCTGCAGCATATGGTGCTTCTGGAGCAGTCGGCCGCACAGAACTCCCTGGTCACAGGTCAGTCGCAGTCATAATAACCAATATTGATGTTACCGAGACACCTTAACCTGCAGAGACGTTTTTATTGAAGTTGTCCTCTGGTAAGACAGAAAGTGAGAAGAGAATGTCTAAAACATCTATCCATAGAAGTTTGAATTAAATTTTACATTTAGAAATGAAAAATAAATGTGTAATCTGTGTCATGTCAAGACAAAAATTTTAATTATTGGGGAATATGAGAACAATTTTCTTTAAAATAAAATACTTCGATTTTTATTGTATTATTATTTAATTTAATATATTATATTATAAATATGTTATTATCAAATTAAATACATATTATATTATATTATATATTTGTTAAATACAAAAATGCACTTTTTCTATAACTAGTAAGCTTTGTTGTACTTTTTTCCCCCACATTTTCTTAATGGCATCCGTAAACCAAACATAATCAAAATAATTAAAATAAATCAAAATCATATATATTTATTACAATGCATTATTATTGGTTTTATTTTACTAATCATTATTCATATAGATATCTGTAAACTATGTCTGCAAAGTGTAATATTAATTACGATTTAGATAATTAATTTATATTTTGTTCTTTTGTTTATTACATTTTTAAATAATTTTTGTATTTAATATTTTTTATTATTTATGCTTTATTTATATTGTATTGTATTAAATGAAAAATACAATGTAAATACAATAACAAAAATACAATGGACTATTATGTTTCAAAATCGTGTTTTACTAGATATTATTCCAAATTTGTACGTTTCGATTTATTTATTTTTGTGTTTTTTTTTTTATCCAATATAAGAATGTACTGTTATGTTTCAAAGTTTTATTGTATTATTCACATTTTCTTAAAGATATCATTAAACCAGACTTATGTCTGTGACATAATTTCCCATTATTTGCACATTACGTTTTAAAATTGCACCAAAGGGGGGCCTCGGAACAGCCAGCTGCCCCGGGGCCTTGCAGGATCATAATGCATCGCGTTCCGCTCTCCCCGCAGATGTCATGCATTTATTGGTTATAATTAGTCCAGCATAGGTTATGCGGCGCCCTTTATAAATTGGATTCAATTTCCTCCGATACGCACTAAAGAAGGCTCATTTTAATCAAATTAGTCATAGGCGGTGTTAATTAGCCTCCTGATGTGCCAGGATCGGCTTCACGAGAGACGGGAGAGAGAGGCTGCCAATAAGAAGAGGTCAATACTTATCCTGAGGATGAGAGAGAGAGAGACGCCTCGCTGGCGCAGTCAATTGTGACTAATGATTTGTGCCATCATAGACCATCACGTTAAAGAGGAAACCTCTTCTCCGCCCACTGTTGTCAGGGAGACTAGCGAATCCACAGGAAGTGTACAAACAGGAAGTGTCAAGCCCCTGGGAGGAGTAGTGATGGAGAGTGTGTCTGGAGCAGAGTGGCGCAATAATGCAAAATAAATAAATAATAACGTTTTCTGACTGAAAACTGCAGCTTTTCTTTTGGCGCTCCATCATTTAGTGTACTGGAGATGCATGTTTCAATTCATAAAGGTCACATACTGGGCTACTCTGTGGTCTTCATAACACTGCTCTCTGCTGGATTCTGATTGGTCGATTGTGGTATTCCGGGGTCAACATATTTTTTGTATAATTATTCTGCACAGTATAATTGATTGTTGTCCAAGGCAAAAAATTTCCTACATAGCTGTGCTTTTTCAGTGTTTATATGATCAGCAATGAACAGTGACTAGCAATTACAAGCTACATAGTTTTTATGTTTTTGTTGTATATATTGAAATGTTTTTATATACATGTTTTAATGATTTTATAGAATTATATAAAGTTATAATATAGTATGTATTATGTAATATGTATTTCATAGTTTACATAGTTTTTTTCATAATTATAAATGAATATGATTAGTTTATTTTTTATAATTCTATAAAATCACAATAAAATCTAAAATTATTTATGTATTTATATACATACATGTTTTAGTAATTTTATAGAATATAATTCAATTAAATTGCTATTTTTATGTATAATAATGTTATCTATATTTTCTATAAAATTAATGAATATATATTATATATTTATATTAATATATTATGTTCACATTTATATATACAGTTTATATATTTTTACTATATATCACGTTTAACATATTTTTATACATGTTTAACTAATTTTGTAGAATTGTATTTTTAATTTTTATTATGTGTGTGTATATATATATATATATATATACACACACACACACACACATAAACATCTTTAGCCATTTTTGGCCACATCTTTTGCTGTTTCGTTTACACATTTTGCACCATTAGTTACATATTTAGGACAGCATGTTAAGTTTGAAATGGTAACTCTCAAGATCAGTGCTCTGTTTACACTCTGTCACTTTTTGAGAAGGATCTTGTCAGTTTTATGTACATTGTGCATTAGATGCTTCATGAGCCATCCGTGGGCACGAGGCAGAGATGTGCTTAAATCTTCAGCCGTGTGTTCAGGAAACATAACCCCCCGAGAGCCAAAACGCGAGGTGTTAATTAGTTCGGGGCTGAGTGCTAACTAGAATCTGCTGTGTAACCCAAAGTCCATGTGTTGTGTCCCCAGGCCTGGGGGTCGTGTCCCTGCAGTCGCATTCCATCCACAAGCCCCGGCAGCATCGGCCCCTCGGACGCACGCAGTCGGCCCCCCTGCCCCAGAATGCCCAGGCGCTGCAGCAGCTGGTGGTTCAACAGCAACACCAGCAGTTCCTGGAAAAACACAAGCAACAGTTCCAGCAGCAACAGCTTCACATCAGCAAGGTACAGCACTCTGTCTGTCTTTAGCTCCCTTAATCACCATGGCAACCAGCAGGATGCGCCTTCCTTATACGGTCAGACTGCAAGCACTATGCTTGTGTGTGTGTGTGTGTGTGTGTGTGTGCGTGTGGGACTGCAGTCATGAACAGACCCAGACTGAATCTTTGGATAGAATCGCAATTAAACAGGGTGTAACGGAAACAAATTTGTCAGCTTGTACCATTTCAAAAGACTGATACATTTTAATTTCATGTATTTATATATTTTCTAAGTTTTAGAAATAAAGAAATAAAGTTTTCTTGACCATTAATTAATCAAATGAATTCATAAAATATATACAGTTCAAAAGGGTCGTAAGATTTTTTGAAACAAGTCTGGTTATTGGTTATTCTCACCAAAGCTGCATTTATTTGTTTTTGTTTTTTTTAAATCCAGTAAAAACAGTAATATTGTGAAATATTATTACAATTTAAAAGAACTGTTTTCGATTTGATTATATTTTAAAATGTAATTTCTTCCTGTGATGCTAAATCTGAATTGTCAGCATCATTACTCCAGTCTTTAGTGTCACGTTTCCTCAGAAATGACTCTAATATGCTGATTTAATAAAGATGATAATAATAATGATAATGTTGAAAATAGTTGTGCTTTGATGAATAGAAAGTTTCTAAGAACTGCTTTTTTAATAGATTTTTATAACATTGTAAAAGTCACTTTTGATCAATTTATTGCATCTATGCATTCAATTTTACTAACCCCAAACTTTTGAAACAGCAGTGTATTTTTTGTACCATTTTTTCTTCACTTTTTCATTCAAATGTTTTGCTGTAAAATTATGCCACTGATTAGCTTGTCTCTCCCTACATGTTTAAACTACTTTTATAATTGTATATATCCAGGGTTTGAAATTAACACCCGCCAAATGCGGGTAAAAATCAGCTGTGGCGGGTAACGTCTGCACAGGTTTAGCGCAAATACTGAACTCGTGAGACATCATGACATTATCGAGTATATTGCAAAAGATAAACAAAACACAACTACAAAATCCCTGTATATATCTGAGTATTTCACAGATTACTAGTGTTGGGCCGTTATCCAACAGGGTTTTGGTTTGTTTCTAATGCCTGTGCTCTCACCACCGCAGTTGTGCATTATAGATTAGTTATGGGGTTAATCCATGCCTGCACACAAACATGTCAGAATGAGCTCACCGGGTGTGGATCACTCAGCGCTACACTCGGGGCTTCCGGGAATACTGCCTCTGCTCAGCAGATGTCAGAGGAATTGAATGCTTCCCAAGCATTTACGCTGTTTAGATATGACTCCATTCCTGTGTTTTTAAAGTTCACAGGGGAGATATGAGGAGACATATGTTGTGAATCAGTGCATGTGGTTCTCTGCATATCTGTGCACTTAATTTGTGCTTTTTATTCAATGTATCTAGGACAAAATCTGCTAAATGGATTTAAACATGGTGAAACATGTTAAAGGGATAGTTCATGCAAAAATAGCTGTCACTTGTTCCGAACATGTACGAGTTTCTTTCTTCTGTTGAACACAAAAGAAGATATTTTTAAGAATGTATGTAACCAAGCTGTTACCTGTAGCTATTGACTTCCAACGTATTTTTTTTCTTCCATTCTATGGAAGTCAACCGTCAACTCTTTGGTTACCAACATTACTATCAACAAAGAAATAAATTCGTACAGGTTTGGAACAGGTGGTCGGTGAGTTAATGATAGAATTTTCATTTTTGGGTGAAATAAGTTTCTTTCTTCTGTTGAACAAAAAAGAAAATATTTTGAAGAATGTTGGTAACCATACAGTTGCCGGGAGCCATTGACTTCCACAGTATGGAAAAAATACTGCGGAAGTCATTAACTACCAGCAATTGGTTACCAACATTCTTCAAAATATCTGCTTTGGATGAAGTCCTGTATTGTTAAAGTCAACATACACAACCTGTTTTACTTCCATTAAGTCACAATGAGACATGAGAACCAAAAATATTTGGCATAATTGACTTCACAAATCTTGCATGACTTCTTTAGATTCACCACATGTAAATATACACACATGTAAATGAGATTTATGTGCTGCAGCAGTGAAGGTTGTTGGTTAAAAATGTCTTAATTTCTGTGGTTTCCTAAAATTTGATTTCGGAATCCCAAAAAATAGTACTCAAGACTGTTTTTATGGCATTATTTTTCCTTTTTGTCTGTCACTTTTGGAGCTTGACAGCCTTTGCTTACCAATGGACTGATATGTGGGTGGGTAAATGATGACAGAATTCAAATAACCTAATTAATATTCATGACCCAAGCCACACCTGTCAAGTTTGTGTGCAGAGCTACTGACGCTGACAGAAAGTCTAACTTTGTGAACAACCAAAGATGTTTTAGACCTAATTATTGAACTTTTGTGACAAAAAGACCAGGGTGATTGACGTTTTTGGGAAGTTTTTCAGCTGTCAAATTGTATCTGGTATCAAGTTTGGGATTATTCCTGTCATTTTGGCTTTGACTGATTTATTTTACAAAGAAATGTAATGTGTAATTTACCTGGCATGAACATCCGACATGTTCACTACGCTGAAGGGAGAGATGGAGCTGCAGTGAGGATGGGGGAAAAACAAAGAGGAGAATATAAAAAAAGAAAAGCTTGTTTAGAATGAAGCACAGGGATGAGGCAATTGCCGAACGCTCTGACGTCAATTATGTTCCCTCGGCACATTGCCAGGGGGCTGTGTTTTCACCACACTCAAGTGTGTGTGTGTGTGTGTGAAGGCGGGGCTAGAGCTGTCATTGCCACAGTGATAGGGTTAGACACAGCTGTCACAGCATGAACTTGAGCCAAGAGGACGGTTTCTTTTGTTCATGTTGTTCCAAGAGTATTATTTAATGCAACTGTAGCTTTGACTCTGTATTTTTTGACACAAGATGTGTGTGTGTTGCAGAGGTCTTAAGTCCTTTTCTCATGAAGTCCTGTTTTGTTAGTCAACATTCACAATCACAACCAGTTTTACTTCCATTAAGTGATGTAATTCTGAGCGAACCAAGGTATTAATAAAGTAAATGGGGTCAGTTTTATTTTATGTTGGTTTTTAAGGGTTGGTTTATACTTTTTAAATAGTTAGCTACACTACAAACACTGGCTAACAAATGTTTAACAGTCTGATAGATATATCATCAGATCGTTAAACAATTGTTAACAATTTCTATAATAAATTATATATATATATATATATATATATACAGTGGGTACGGAAAGTATTCAGACCCCCTTAAATTTTTATTGATTTTATTTTGTACTTATTCAGAAGTTTCAATTGTTATGATTTTGTAATGGTTTAAAGTTTCTTCTGCTCACCAAGGCTGAATTTATTTGATCGCAGATGCAGTAAAACCAGTAATATTGTGAAAGGTCATTACAAATTAAAATAACTGGTTTCTATTTTAATATATTTTAAAATGAAATTTATTCCTGTCATGGCAAAGCTGAATCTTGCAGAAACCATTACGCCAGCCCCACAGATTCTTTGATGAATAGAAAGTATAAAAGAACAGCGTTTATTTGATATTTAATAGAAATAGATCTTTTGTAACATTATAACTGTCTTTACTGTCACTTTTGATCAATTTAATGTGTTCTTGCTGAATAAAAGTATTCATTTCTTTCAACAAAAAGAAAGAAAGAATCTTATTGTTTAGTACACTTAATAATTGTAACAAGTTTTTCCTTTTTTAAGGTGTTTGTTCCAGGACTATTGAATAAAGATCCCAATCATATTTTCTAAAGAAGTCATTCATTTTGAATCAGTAGAAGTCTGATTCATCAGTTGAATTGATGGGGATTTTGACATGTGTTTCTCTCAGATGATGGCTAAGCCGAACGAGCCGAGCCGACAGCATGAGAGCCACCCGGAGGAGACGGAGGAGGAGCTGCGGGAGCACCAGGGGCTGGGCGACTCCACGGAGGCTCTTCCTCACGGGGTCCCCATCAAACAGGAACCTCCGGATGAGCAGGATGAAGAGTTCCAGCAGAGAGAGATGCAAGCCGAGGAAGAGCTGCTCTTCAGACAGGTGAGGGTGTTAGAGCAGACAGACAGCTGCAGGAATATACTGTATGAAAGCGCATCTGTCGCTGTTTCTGTGAATGGCACTGGATGAAGTCACAAACACACTGAGCACCAGAAGGGGGCAGCACCAGGCTCCTATAAAGAGTCAGACACCCTGTTGGTGAAAAAGGGGTTATTAACTCTTAAGAACGTTCTGTCCCAACAAGATACTGCGTATTTCTGGCACTTACTCAGCTGGAGACATGCATTCATTTTACAGACCGTTGCCGAGGAGGTGCGTGGTTGTTTTTCACGGTCACGTTTTTAGATTTAACGTTACAGTAGGCGAATATTTTTTCCAGAAAATCTAAACCGGAGAAGCAGGAATAATACTGTGAAAACAAAAATGATTTACAGTGATGCTGTTTGCCAGCTCTGACTAGTACGCTCTCTGACCATCCAATCAAAGGACGATAAAATGCTGACGTTAGCATACGCCTGCTAGATGGCCCTGGTGCTGCCAACTCGAAATCTGATTGGTTAAAGCAACGGTTTCATTGCCATTTATTTAAGCTAACAGAATCCTGCACTGTTGATTCTGAAGGCCTTAGGCAGATTTCTTTGACCCTGGCAACACCGATTGCTGATATATGATTGGATAAAAGCTCTAATATAAATATACACTACTGGAAGAAGCGCAACCAAGAAAAACGCTGAAATGAAGAGAACAGACTATTGGAAATAATTGAATACACATTCATTGAAAAATATATTAAAACTAAGACTGATTCTGATAGTGTTTAGGTCAGCAGAGAAGGCCCTGACGGCCCACCACTGGTAGAATGATTTCTGATCATGTGACACTGAAGACTGGAGTAATGATGCTAAACATTCAGCTTTGCATCATAGAAATAAATGACATTTTAAAATATATTCAAATAGGAAACACTTATTTTAAAGCGTAATAATATTTCAAAATATTACTCTTTTTACTGTATTTGTAATTAAATAAATTCAGCCTTTATAAGAAGCTTCTTTCGAAAACATTAAATCTTACTCACCCCAAACTTTTAGTGTCATTAAAAAAAAAAAAAGCATATTTATGAATTAATTTGTATTTTTCAAGCCAGGTTCAATTTTTATTCTTTCAAGTAACCACCTCAACCATATGTACTTTGGTGCCTACAGACCTTCATATACTGGCTTAGATATTTTCATGTTTTACTGTCTTGAAGAGCTAAACACAAAGCATTGTGGGATATGAAGTGGAGCTCAGAACACTCTTGCCTTTATAAGCTTAATAAGTGAAGATTTTCAAAATGTAAAGCATTTCCTACATATAACACTTTTGTTAGTGGTTTGCAATGTATCGAGTGCCACCTGCTGGTTATTTTTGTAACTACAGGGTGCCTAAAAACACTTCTTCTCTATAAAGTATGAAACGTCCGTATAAGGATATGTATGTTAATTTTCACATATTGACTTCATAGCAAAGTTCATTTATTTCAAGCTAAACTTCTGTTCTTGTCTCTGAGCAGCAAGCTCTCATGTTGGAGCAACAGAGGATCCATCAGCTGAGGAACTTTCAGGCGTCCATGGAAGCGGCCGGTCTATCTGTGACCTTCCCAGGCCATCGGCCCCTGTCCAGAGCACAATCATCCCCGGCCTCTGCGACCTTTCCCATTGTGGTGCAGGAACCTCCAGCCAAACCGCGCTTTACCACCGGTCAGTCACTGGATTAGATGCTCCAAATAATTTACCAACTGAACAGCTAAGCCTCGGGACATTACCTTACAAACAAAAAAAAGTGTATTTATATTAGCTTGCAGCCCTCTTTAAATAAGTATTTGTGTCTTTACAGGTCTGGTGTACGACACCCTGATGCAGAAACACCAGTGCATGTGTGGAAACAGTAACAACCACCCCGAACACGCCGGGCGTATCCAGAGCATCTGGTCACGACTGCAGGAGACGGGACTGCGCGGCCAGTGTGAGGTAGCCCGTTCACCCACATCTCTCCGTTTATGACATATCAGCACTTTTAGCGGTAACATGATGTAATCTTTCAGCACCAAACATATTTAAGTGGTATTTAGCTTCAGCCTGCTGGTTACTGTGGCAGGGTGAAGGATATTTTTACGATCTGTAGAGGGCGCTGTTCAGCCATCACAAACACAGCCACACACTCCTGTTGATGAAACTTTATGAATAAACCAGAGTTTTACTCAAAGGAAAAGGGGGTGTGAGATTGTTTTGAGTGTGTTCGAGGAGTTTTTCATTACAAATTGGAAAAAGAAAAAAAAAATCATCATGTCTTAGTATTTGGTTCGTCCCACTTTTCCTCTAATGAAGGTAGCAATGAAGCTACATGAACACCACAGGCTTGTTCAAAACCTGATGCTTATGTTCTCCAGCATCATCTGAAAATGATCCTAAGAGCATCTTGTGCTTCAATGGAAGCAGCAGTTTCTGAATTTTGCTTTGAAGAGTAACATGACCAATTTTAAGAATTATAATGACCTAAAAATACTTTTAATTTAGACTTAGTAAGATTTTTTAAATGTTTTGGAGTCTTATATTCACTTACAGCATTTATTTAATCAAAAATGTGAAGTATCATTACAATTTAAAATAGCTGTTTTCTATTTGAATATATTTTAAAATGTAATTTATTCCTGTGATGCAGTGCTGAATTTTCAGCATCATTACTCCAGTCTCGGTGTCACATGATCCTTCAGAAATCATTCTAATATGCTGATTTACTGCTCAAGAAACATTTCTTATTATTATCAAAGTTGGAAACACTTGTGCTGCTTAATAATTTTGTCGAAACCATGATGGATTTTTTTTTTCCCCAAGATATATTGGATATCTTTGATGAACAGAAGGTTTAAAAGAACAGCATTTATTAAAAAATTATTTTTTTTAAACATTATGAATGTCTTTAGTGTCCCTTTTGATTAATTTAAAGCATCATTGCTGAATAAAATTATGAATTGCTTTAAGAAACAAACACATTTTAAACATTATTTCTTCTTAATTTAATACTAAATGTTTCAAATATCCTGCAGCTTAGTTTATTTACAAGTTTAAACTACACAAATCACAGATTTCCGTTTACAGACTCTAGAACCTGCATGAAACTCCTCACAAAGCACCACACAATTCATATCTGTTTGTTTGTGCATACACACACACACATATAGAACAGCATTTATTAAAAGATTATTTTTTTTAAACATTATGAATGTCTTTAGTGTCCCTTTTGATTAATTTAAAGCATCATTGCTGAATAAAATTATTAATTGCTTTCAGAAACAAACACATTTTAAACATTATTTCTTCTTAATTTAATACTAAATGTTTCAAATATCCTGCAGCTTAGTTTATTTACAAGTTTAAACTACACAAATCACAGATTTCCGTTTACAGACTCTAGAACCTGCATGAAACTCCTCACAAAGCACCACACAATTCATATCTGTTTGTTTGTGCATACACACACACACATATATATATACATATAAATATATATGCACGCTTTAAGCTATAATTAACATTATTTTACCCCATTTACCACATTTTGCACGATGCTTAAATCCGTTTTCCCCCAAAATCAGCGCAGAAAAGCAGTCTGTGCCTGCTTATCTCTGCCTCCACGTGCTGAGGGCAATTCCTGAGCTCTCCCATCATCTCGAGCTCTGATCGCTGGTGCCTAATGGCTCTCGCTGGATCTAATCTCTCCTGCCACGCTGGCTCCATTGCGTCAGGCCTGTTAGAGTAGGTCGCATAGCTGCAGTCTCTGTTTTCCTCCAAACAAACAAGTAAACAAGCATGACAATGGCACGGCTGCGCACCCGCTCTCTCGCCTACATTCGCTCCTTGATGGGGATGTTTATTGTTCTGGGAGATGGAAACAGGGAATTGGGCCTCAATTAAAGGCAGTCATGACTCTAAACAAGTAAACAAGCACGACAATGGCACGGCCGCGCGCCCGCTCTCTCGCCTACATTCGCTCCTTGGTGGGGATGTTTATTGTTCTGGGAGATGGAAACAGTGAATTGGGCCTCAATTAAAGGCAGTCATGACTCTAATACCCCCTAATCTACAGCAGGGGGGCCCTTAAAGAGTGCGGGGTTGTTTTAAGCTGCCGCCAGCCAGCACCGGGCCCCCTTTAACTGCCCCTGCTGTTAAATCTGAGAGGTAGTACGTCCTGTTGCAGGTGTCACCTCGGAGCGGCCCAGAGCGCTTCCACAGGTGGGCAGGTCCGCCTCCCTCTCGGATGGTTTGTGTCTCAGAGGCCAGAGCTATTAAAAAAGGGAAAATGACATTATTGCAAATCCAGCAACTCCGGCACCTCCGAGGGCCGACGGCTTTGTTCTACAGGCATGTGGGGCCCAGTTTGGAGTGGGAGGTGGACAGCGGGTCTGTTTCAGCTCTGCTTAGACAGCTAAAGACTTTAGAGGGGGCAGGATGGCTGTCGATTTTGCAATCAATGAAATATGTCTTGCCAAAACATTCCAGTCAACAAACTAATAATAACAGGTGTTGTAAAAAAGACATGACCTAGACCGGGGGTGTCCAGTCATGTTCCTGGAGAACTCCAACACACTTTTCTGGAAGTTTCTAGAGAGTCGAAGGGCCTTGATTAGCTGGTTCAGGTGTTTTTAATTAGTGTTAGAGCTCAACTCTGCAGGACAGGTTTTTTAAGGACACTTTCCTTACACTTTTTTTTTACATATTAATCAGGTTGTTCAGAAATACATAATATTTATACATAATTGTATAAAAATCTAGAATGTTTGCTTTACTTACATGATTTTGTTTTTTAAAAATCCATGTTTTTAGACAGATTTGTCTTATATAATGTAAAATCATTTGCATTTGCAACTTGTTTAAATGGGATTTTATTTAATAAAATGTTCAAATTAGAATTTTGAGATTGTGAACAAGTGAACTGTAAAGAAATGCTTATTCGGCAAGGATGCATTAAACTGTCCTGAAGAAAGGTTTAGGATTTCGAAACATTTTAAATTAAATTAGGAAATATAATACCATTCACAGGTTTAGGGTCAGTGCTCCTTTTTTTTTTTTAAACAAAGTTAATGTTTTATTCAGTAAGGATGCATTAAACTGATGGAAAGTGACAGTCAAGACTTCTACATTGTTACAGAGGATTTTTATTTCAAATAAATGCTGTGCATTTTTAGCTTTCTATTCATCAAAGTATTATAAAAAATATATGTTTTCAACATTGGTAATAATAAGAAATCAGCATACTGAAATGATTTTTTGCTGAGTCATATGACACTGAAGACTGGAGTAATTATGAAAAATTCAGCTTTGCTATCACAAAAAAATACACATTTTAAAATATATTAAAACAGACAAAGGCTTTTTTTTTAATGGTAAACATTTTTCACAATATTACTGTTTTTCTTGTATTTTTAATCAAATAAATGCAGCCTCAGTGAACATAAAAGACTAATTAAATATATATTTTTTTAATTCTTACTGACGCCAAACTTTTGAATATTAGTTCACGATTAAGAACATAGAATATACACAAAAAATTTTGTATTTCAATGAACAATAATTGTACACTATATTTTAACAAAAACTGGCATCAAATCTCAAAATTAAGACTATATTTCAGCTGATTAATATCAATATGTTGCTACATAAGAAACTCACAGCCTCCACCTCATCCATGTCAAACCGAATATAGCATCTTTTCCTACTTAGGTTTTAACTCACTTTTTTTTTTTTTGCAGTGTATTCGAGGCAGGAAAGCCACTCTGGAGGAGCTACAGACGGTCCACACTGAGCCTCATGTGCTGCTTTACGGAACCAACCCTCTCAGACAGAAACTGGACAGTAAGAGCAAACACACACACACACACACACACCTGACTACACCACGGGCTGAATCTGACTGAGTTTTGTGAATGAGCACATTGTTGTATTTCTCTCTCTGTGACAGTTGGAGTCTGCGATGGCCTTCTCAGTTATTAGCCCGTGAAGCTTCTCCTGGACTTCTGCAATTATCCACATTATTTACGCTTCTGCAGCCAGATCCGCCTTACAGCATGTTTCCTAAATGCTGCAATTTGTTTCATTTCTTGTTTTGGCCCGTTGTCATTCCCTCCCCATCCCAAACTCCCTGGCGTTCCCCTCTGTCAGCCCACTCTCTGCTTTCATCAGTCATGGCCTTGATCTGAGTTTGCCCCTGAGCTGTCCGTCAAGGCCGTCACCTCTCTGCCAATAACAACCACACATGCAGTTTTCCATGACTTCAGCTCCGGCCCCCTTATGCAGCGATCAAACACATGCTTAAACGACATGCCCGCTCACACACACGTGCACACGCACGGATATTTCACACTCGTCGAGTACGGAGACAACATGTTTCCACCTTTCCTATCTGATTGGGTCGGTTTATTCAACAGACTTTTTTGATCTTGCAACAATGTGTTGCTTCATAAGCACGATTGATTTGAAAAATAGGGCAATTTTAATCAATAGATGCTTTGCCTCATTGAGAAACGTTGGATTATTGCATGTGTGTTTGTGCAGTAATATAGTAGGGGATGGTCATTGTGGTCATTTTGTTGAGTATTCGGGGTTGGTGGTCTTAGACCTCAGACCTTAATGGTTGCACTTTTTGGTTCTCTAAAAATAGGTAATTTGTCAATCAAACTACATTGATATGTTTTTGATGAATTTAAAAGAGCCTGCTCTAAAGAGTAAATTAGTTGAATCAAATGACACTGGTTGCATTTTTTTGATTCACTAAAAAGAGCTGGCTCATAAGAGTCATTGATTTGTGAATCATACGACACTGTCTACACTATATGTTTTTGATTCACTAAAAAGAATCAGCTCATAAGACTTATTTGTTGTTGAATCAGATGACTATGTTTGTACTGTGTTTTTGATTTGCTAAAAAGAATTGGCTCATAAGAGCCATTAGTTTGTGAATCAAATGACACTATTTGCACTATGCTTTTGATTCACTTAAAAGAGCCGGCTCATAAGAATCATTGATCCGTGAATCAAATGACATGGGTTGCACTAAATGTTTTAATTCACTTAAAGGCAGAGTAAGCGATTTCTGGTAGCCAATGTTGATATTTGAAATCACCAAAACAAACACGCCCCTACCCCAAAGGGGTCTTGCCCCTATTTTGATAGCTCCGCCCCACATATACGTACGCAACCCAGGCAACGATTAGTTCTGTGTAACAAAGCAAAACCAATGTTACACCATGTCTACGGACGTGAGCGGCGCGGCAAGGAAACTGCTGCCGGGTTTTATTTATGACGTGCTGACACAAATTTCAAATGGTTTTCAACGGTCGTTTGATCGCGTCCAGTGTAGGCAGACTTTAGCTGTTGTAGACACGGTGTTACTCACCTATTGAGAAGAAACAAAGCAACCTCGGCGTCCGATCGCAGGCCTCCGCTCCTTGAGTTCTCTCCAGCGCTGGAAAGCTGATCCGATATTTACACGGGTCCTACTTCTTGCCTTATCGTTCCGCAGACATTTTCCCTCTTTTGTTTTTTATCCGCCATCTCTATCTTTCTGTCACTCGGCTCGGCTAATGTCCGTCCCATGCACTCAACGCGCTCTCCTCCACATCACGAGTAGACACGCCCCTTATTGATGATTGGCTACAAGTTTGTTTTGCGATTCAGCCCGAATCAGTTTTCTAAAGTGTTTTTGAAAAATCACATACCCTGCCTTTAAAATAAAAACTGTATTGTAAATTGTACGTATCTTGCTATGTTAGTTTCTCAACTACCCTCTGAGGATATTTACATTTATGCATGTGGCAGCCACTTTTATCCAATAAATAAATAAATACTTTTTTATCAGTATATTTTATCAGTATATTATATACTTTAAAGTTGTCCAAATGAAGTCCTTAGCTATGCATATTACTAATCAAAAATTAAGTTTTGATATATTTACGGTAGGAAATTTACAAAATATCTTCATGGAACATGATCTTTACTTAATATCCTA